TTAGCTCGTTGAAGTTTGCCCTCCTGAAATCTAGGGCTGATTGCTCCATCCTCTTTGGAAACTACCCTTCAGGTATTTGAAGGATGCTATTAGATCCCCTCTCAGTCTTCTGTTCTCTAAACTAAGCTCAGTTTCCTCGGTCTCTCCTGATAAGTTATGTGCCTCAATCCTGTAACCATTTTTGTTGCTTTCCACTGAACTTCCTCCAATTTGTTCACATCCTTTCTGTAGCGGGGGATCTAAAACTGGATACAGTACTCTAGGTGTGGTCTCACCAGTGCTGAACAGAGGAGAATAATTACTTTCCTTGCCCTGCGGGTAACGCTTTTACCACTAGTTAGTTATTCCAGCATTTGCACCAGGAGGTTGTCTCCAACACTCTCCAAAAACTTCCTGGATTGCCTGGGCATTGCTGTATTCTCCCCCAAGCAGATGTCAGGGTGATTGAAGACCTTCCACTAGCTGTGTGAAGAAAGCCTCATCCACCTTGTACTCCTGGTTTGGTGGTTTATAGGAGACCCCCACCATGACATCACCCTTGTTGCTTTCCCCTCTGACCCTAACCCAGAGACTTTTAATAGGCCTATCTCCAGTTCATAGTGGAGTTCTGAGCAATCATATGGGGTTTTTACATAAAGTGCAACTCCTCCTTTTCCTTGCCTCCCATTCTTGAACAGTTTGACAGTGCTCCAGTTATGCGAGCTATCCCACCAAGTCTCTGTTATTCCAATTGTGTCATGGTTCTGTGACTGTGCAAGGACTTCCAGTTCTTCCTGCTTGTTTCCCAGAGTCTGTGCATTTGTTTAGAGACACCTAAGATAACGAGCTGATTGCTCTGATTTCTCAGGAAGAATAAGAATAACTTCAATGTTGCCTCCTCTTGCTTGTGCTTCCTCCAGGTCACCCATTTACTTCAGGGCTTTGGTTTTCTTCCCCCCAGCAAACCTAGTTTAAAGCCCTCTTCATTAGGTTAGTAAGCCTCTCTTCGTCAGGTGGATCTCATCTTTTGCTAGCAATCCTTCCTTTTGGAACATCATCCTGTGGTCAAAGAAGCCAAGGGGCTGATGGCAGCACCACCTGTGCAACTATGCATGGATCTGCAGGACGTATCTGCTCCCATCTGGGCCCTTCCCCTTGACTGGAAGGATTGAGAAGAATACCACCTGAGCCCCCGTTCCCTTAACCTTTGCACCCAGAGCCACGTAGTCACTTTTGATCTGCTCAGGGTCTCTGCTGGCAATATCATTGGTGCTGACATGGATGAGCAGCATGGGATAGTAGTCAGAGGGCTGGATGAGTCTTGGTAATCTGTCCATAACATCTCGGATCTGGGCTCTGGGCAAGTAGCAGACCTCCTGAGATAACAGGTCAGGCCAGCAGATGGATGCCCCTGTCCCATGCAGATGAGTCTCCAACCACCACCACCCCTCGCTTCTTCTGGGTGCCGAAGGTCTTGATCCTTCCCAACTTGGGAAGGCCTGGCCTGTCCTCCACCTATGGAATGTGCTCCTCCCTCTCTGTTGCTAAGGCTCCATACCTGTTCTCCGGTTGAACTGCTTCAGGTGGAGATTAATATTTCGGCTTGCTGCCAGAGGTCACAAGCTTCCAGCTTCCACATTCCTTGGAGTCCATGTCCTTTCCCTTCTTTAACATGGTCTTTGGCAGTCCTTCCTCCACTGTCTGGGAGGTCTCCTCCAGCACTGAATTGATGAAATCCTCATGGTGGAGGATGCGTTGGAGCCTTGCGACCTTCTCCTGTAGCTTTCTTGCTTGCTGCTTAAGAGACACCACTAGGAGGTACCGCTCACATCACAGGCACTCCCCCTCCCCCCACCTGGCCATCACTGGAAGGAACCTGCAAGCTGAGGTCTCAGCGCCAAACCTAGACTTGGGTGAGAGCCTCAATGATGAGTGGTCCTGCCTGGACAGTAACCTCACAGGTCAAGCAGAGGCAGTGTCTCTGGCATTGTGACATCCTCCAGCCTTTTCCCTGGGTCTCTTAATCTGCCTTCTCTCTCTTACTGCCCTTCTTCCAAGAACATCTTCCCTAGCAAACTCACCTGGAAGCTGGCCTGTTTACTGTTCCTTGGCCCTGAAAGTTTCTTTTTTCCCTGCTTCCTGGCATCAAGTTTAAGGGCTTCCCATCAAAGATGGGCGTGGAGGGGGCAAACTGACTTGCGAATTGACCAGCGAACTGCCTGCAAACTGTTTGCCCTGTTTGTCCCTGTACACTCACTCCCTGACTCAAGGAGTCTCCTTTTATACCCTGCTGGGCCTGGACTGCCTCTGCCCCCTTGTTAGGGCTTTTGTCAGGCAGCAGGCAGTAATCACTCAGCTAGCAACAGTCCCAGCTTCTCAGAGCACACGCTTAAACACACACAGGACAAGGTGTGGTACATTACCCCAACTACCTTGTACATGTGTGTTAATTCATGGCTGTATAGCGCTTTCAGGGGCCTGATCGTGCACAAAATGTCACTTGTGCAAGTGCCCTAAGTGTCTACAAGGCCATTCAGCAGAAGGGAGATTAGCTGGGCCCAATTGAGCCACATGGGTGGAAGGGGCATGGCTCAGCCTCAATCCAGCCAGGCAGGGCTTGAGAATTTGCCAGTGCTCCCTTGCTGCCAAATTTCCTAACCATTGTAGAGACCCACAGGCTTGATGCTAGGATATACATATCGTTAAAAAAAAATAACCATTTAACCATCTCTTAATTATATTGGTTAAGCAATAACACATACCTTGTTTAGCGACTGCTGGCAGGAATGGTCTTGGCCCCTTATGTCTTTACTGTGTGCCAGGTGCTAGGCTGCTGGTGGGGGGTGACAGGCACAGCTGAGCCACTAGGGGGCATTGCCCAGCTGTGGTGCTGTGGCTTTGCCTTGCCCTCCCGGCCTGGGGCTGTGACTTTTTCTGTGCCCGCATCCTATTGCCACGGGTAGGGAGGGAGGTACTGGCCTCTGTTTGGGCTTGGTTGTGGCCTTCCTGCCACAGCAGCGAGCCTTCTGGCCCTGCAGTGGGTCTGCCTGGCATCTTTTCAGCGGCAGGGCAATGGGTGATAGGCTCCTTGCACCTCCTGCTGCACTTGGACCTGAAAGGCTCCTCCAGTCTGCCAGCCAGGCTCTCTCCAGCTCACCCTGGGAGAAGGGGAGGTCCAGTCCCAGCAGGAGAGCCCCAACTGGGCATGCTGCATCCTTCCCTGTCCCACCTGTGGTGCTGGGGCTGTGCAGGGCCTGGCCTAGGGCTGGGCTGAGTGCATGGCTGGCTTGGCCCGAGGAGGTGCCATGGCAGCTGGAGCAGGCAGCACTGGGTTTGAGGGGTTGCCATTGGCCCTTTGGGCCATGTGCACAGCCCAAGGGCATTCCTGAGGGGCAGTGGAGCAAGGATCCCAGGGGGAGCATTAGGGCTGCAATAGCAGCCTCCCAGGCTGGAGCTGTCACATTGCTGTCCCTCAGGGACACCTTGGGGCTGCACTCACTGTGCAAGGGGCTGGTGGCAATCGCTCAGTCCTGGCGCCGTCTGCTCCAGTTGCCATGGCACCTGAGGCTGAGCCAGTACGCCTGTCAGAAGGTTCTCCAATGGGACCAGACTCCCCGTTTCCCCAGGGCAAGCTTCCAGGTCTAGGCCACAGTTGAACAAATGTGGTGGGATGCAGAGGGAGCCCATTGTCTGTTGCCTGTTGCTCTACCTAGGCCCTGCTGCTGAGGCCTGGCACCTTCCTCCCTCTCTTCTCGTGAGGGTTGGATCCAGGCACAGGAGAGGTCCCCATTCTGAGCCCATGGGGGAAAGGGGAAGCCATGGCTCCACAGCTGGGCAGTGCCCCTTAGTGGCTTGGTTGTGCCTGCCACCCACCACTTGTGGCTCCTTGCCAGTGGCCTGGGGCCCACACAGCGCCGGGTGCACAGTGAAGACATATGGGGCTGGGGTCAGGGCTAGGGCCACCAGAGGGCATTAAATTGTAAACAGTAATTAGTAAGTGGGATAAATATAATTGTCTCTTTATCATTTACATCCCGACTGGATGCCATGGCTCCACAGGCCAGATCTGGGTTGCGGTCTGGGCATTAAACACCACTGATCTAGCACATGACAGTGAGGCCCTGATCCTAAATAAGTCTTCGCTGTTACCATGCTGCAAATGTAATGCTTCTGGAAAGCTGTGAATCTACATTATTTTAATTTTTCATTTTTCTGTGAATGCTTACAAAAATAATTGGCAATTGTAAGTGCATATTTCAAGGAATCTTACCCCCCACTTTCTTAGTGTTTTATCTAGAACATGGGTTGTCAAGTGCTCTCATACTGTTGACTTCAGCTTAATAAAAAACAGTCTCAAGGATTATCTCTTGAGTATCCTTGCTGTAGCAACATTTACTAATATTGAAGAATAATATTTGTTAAGGATTTAATAAACTATAGCTGTCTTCTGCTGCAGTCTAGAAACTGGAAAAAAAAGAGGAACCAGTGTCATTTTATCAGCCAAGGTCTCTGTGGACCACAGTTTGGAATATCTATTCTAGGGCATGTGAACAAATTTTGAAACAATGTAAGCTGTCTTTTTAAAAATGAGACCAGTCTTATAATGTCAATATTCCTTTTTATATTCTAGGCTCTTTAAAACAACCAGGACTTGTGCAGCAGACTGATTTAGCTGCCACATTGGCAATAGGTCTTGGTCTGCCAATCGCAAGAAACAGCATTGGGAATCTCATATTGCCTGTCATAGAAGGGAAGACAATGAGAGAACAACTAAGGTTCTTGCACTTGAATGGGTTTCAGCTTAGCCAGCTACTTCAAGAGAATGTACCTACATATGAAAAAGGTAAATTAATCAAAATTATTGTTTTGGCATCTACAAGGATTATGTTTATCCATGAAACTTAAATTTGAGGTGTTAGGACCAACAACACAGTGAACTACTACAAACTGATAGTTCAACCCAGGTACGTGTTGAGAGATCATGCTGAGGTTAAGCTTATTCATTTGTTTATTCCTTGCTATTTTGTATACGTTTATCATAAAGGATCCCATCCTAAAGATGGTAGGACCAAAGAAGTGGTTCGTAGTACACAGCCATTTCAACTTCATATGCAACTGAAGCTCTGTGGTATGGAAACTGCTATTTAGAAAAATGCCAAACTTAATTTCTTCAGCCTTGTGATGGAACACGTTTTTCTGCATTTAGTAACATTCTGAAACCTCATTAAATAATCTTTGAGTAACAGAAAATCTATGCTTTGGTGCCTGCTTGGGGGGAAAAGTAGTTGAAAAAGAGTCTCAGAAATATCATTACATGAGCCCCAACTCAATGATTTTTACAGCATTTCATCTGTGGTATGAATTGCCATACACAGTGGGCACCTATAAAATCAGAAGGACATTTATAGAATTTATTTTAAAAAGTGTAAGTAACATAAATATGTTCAGGGAAAGGAACAAGGAAGGATTTGGAGGGAGGGACAAGTGGAGTTGGAACAATGTGGTGGTCAGGAACTTGCAGCAAGATAAGCAAGGCCTGATGAGGGCTGAAGGTGGTTGATAGAAGCAGGCATAGATGAGTTTGCAAGCACCAAATGAAATGAGGGAGCCCTGACAAAGTAAGTAAATTGCTCATCTGAGAAATTTAGTGCTGAGATTGTAAAATAACAGTGAAGTTAATATGGGAGTTTACAAATAAATGACTGGTCAGAAGTGGGGAGTTCATGTGATGCTGGGTACAATAAGTATTGGTGCTATCAAGTGAAGCAAAGTCCTAATACCTTAGCTTCTGGTCCTGATGGATATTGTGATAGAATGGCTTGACCACAAAGTATTACTGTAATTTAATATAATAGTGGACAAAGAGTAGATGACAGAATGTTAACCAGATCTTTAATGATCAGCATAGGTTAAGACTAATTGCATTTTAATAGCATGTCGGCTAATAATAACTAAACCTGGGTTTGGTATCTTATAGTGATAAGTATGGTTGGAGCAGGAAAAGGCTAATAATGGGAGCTCAGGGACTGATATTGGGACTCCTTTCTCTCTTTCTGGTCTCGCAGGCCTTGAGGGCCTATAACCACCTTAACTACTGCCTCACATCTCCTCCTGTCTTGTGCAGTCTTGTTCTACCTTTGTCGCATCTTTGCCTATACCTTCCAGATCAGATATTTGGATCAGATATTAGTGAATGCAATTCAATTTTTTGTTGCACATCTCCCCTTACTCAGCACAAATGAGTAATATTGCCTCTCATGTGAAGAATTGGGATTTGAGGGGTGGTTCAGTGTTGCTGGAAGTTGCCAGAATTTCTGCTACCAGGGTTGGAAAGAGCTGGCAGTTTTTCCCATCCTTTGTTTTATTACTTTAAGGTTTATCAGTCTTTTTTCACGCAGAAGAAACTTTATTTTAACGTCTAGCTTTGATCTCTGTTTCTTTAGCTAAGGAATGAAATGAAAGGTGTGGTGACAGCAGAATATAGTGCTATGTAGAGATACCTGACCTAACTCTAAATGGAAGCAATTATAGCCATGTTAGTGGGCACATCTACACATTCATTAATGCACAATGTTATTGCACATTTAATTTAGTACTTGTATAATCAAGTACTAACTAAATGAGCGGTAACCAAAGTTACTGTGGAGTAGCGCCGCTGAATGTCTTTTTAATGATGCTACTGCTTGGTAGCATAATAATACTGTGCGGTAACATATTAACACTGTTTGTGCTGTGATGCGTTACTGCACAGTATTATTAGGCTACCAGGCAGTTAGCATCTAGTGTAGACACGCTCAGAGTGGTGTGTCACCTAGACTAAACAGTATATTGATAAGCAGGGAATTAGCCAGGGTGAGTTGCTGCTGTAATGCAACTATCCTACTCTGTTTCATGCACAGAGTTCTGTGCAGTAATAAGGGGAATCCTTTTGGACTGTAGAAGCTGGATCTTTGTTAAGAGTACTGCTTTGGCACTTGTGCCAAGGACTATTATTCTGTGAGCATATGGAGCTTTCTGAAAGCTTACTGGTATCACCCTCCAAATTTATCCCTCCTATCACTTCTGTTCCAACCTGCATATTCCTTGCACGTAGTTAATTTAGAACTAAGTTACCTATGCATGGCACTGCATTGTGCTATATATTCAAAGCTTAGGGTGGGAAGATAGTAAAGATGTTTATGTTTGTTTCTTGTTAATATGTATCATCAATACAGAGGTCCTGCTGTGGGGGAGCTAGAGTTTATAGCATTAGTGGTCCAATTAATGTTTCCTGCTGCAGCGACAGTGAAGACGTGTAAGGATGGAGTCAAGTCCCAGATGTGCTAGAGAAAGCTTTTCTAGGAGCCTCAGAGGTAATTGCCCTGCTGCTGTAAGTTATCAACCCTTATTCTGCCTGGGCATGAGGTTTCACAGAGCAAGAGCTATGTCTGTTGCCTCTAGCTGTTGACCCTCTATCTTGTTAGGTTTTGGGGCTGTGAATTGGACAGACACATAGGGTTCCAACAACTACCTAAAGCTTGGGGTCCATTGTAGGATGGGTTGGCGAGGAGCTGAGGTTTCCCAAAGAAGAGAAGTCAGAGTCCTAGTAGACTCAGTGGTACGTCATGCTAACTCTAGAGAGTCCAGCTGGGAGGCTACGGTGAATTTTGGGCCACCCTGTAGCCACCCCTTCCAGCACCACCACCACCTGCCCCGAGCCCAGCCCTGGCCCAATCCCCTTGCCAGGAAGAGGCCAGCACAGCCCCTGGCCCCAAGTTTACAGTGTGCAGCCTGCCGTCACCCTGTGCACAAATCCAGGGGAGCACATGACTCCCCCAGGGGTGCATGCAGCAACAGGGAGCCACCCCCTTCTCTGGGCCCCCCCACTCCGGATGAGCCTTCTGTGGTTTTGTCCCGCACCCAGCGGGGTTGCACTTAACCGCCCTGGCTGGGCAGCGCTTGCCACTTCCCCCCTCCCTCCCTCCCTCACTGTGGTGGCCTTGATCTGCGCCCCTTCCCCCACATAGACTTACTGGCAGGATGCTGCTCTCCAAGCTGCTGGGATGCATTCCTGGCTGTGTATATGCTGTGGCTGCATGCAGCATTTATCAGTGACGTTATTAGCTACACCGACCAAAAAAGCTGATTGCCTATGATGTTAATTTTCCTTTTATTGGTGCCAATCCGACATGCAACCGATATATTGGTACATCTCTAGTAATATCTTACTATTCTGTAAACAAATGTCCAGGAAGAATATACTTTACTAGTGGTTGGCAACTCTTTCAGTTGCAGGCTGGAATGACCCTACATGGGTCACAGGAAGGATGGTAGGTGTTAAAACCCAGCCACCACTCCTGCTTTTCCCCACAGCAGCATAGGGAAAGCTCCCCCCTCTGCTGCTTTTTCCCATGGCTGTACAGGGAAAGCTGTCTTTGCTGCCACTTCTCCCTGTGTTAGCATGGGGAAAGTGGCTGCTGCTGAAGCCCTCTGCTGCTGAATGCCACCTAATCTGATGTCTGTGGCTGGGTCAAATGGCTCTGTAAGAGGGATCTGGTCCTCAGGTTTTAGGTTGCCAATCCCTGTGCTGTACACACCAACACATTCCTTTGTAGGATTTGTCCAGAACAAGAAGCTAGCATTTTGCACAGAAGTGATTAGGATTAATGCTTGAGTAGAAAGAGGTACAGTATTATTAGTACAGGGCTTCCCATGGATGCCTCCCTGGGGGACATGAATACTGAGGCATGGTGTGTGGTGGACCAGTAGGGGGTGCTTCTATGTTGAGCTACCCACCTCACTGAGCCCGACCACTTTCCAGGCTCCAAGTGCCTCCCTGGGGGGTACCTCATGTCCGGCCGACCCCCTTCCTGGAGTACACCTGCAAGCATGGGGGTAACGTTGCCACCACCCAGCATCTGGATGGATCTGGGACCTGTGCCTTCTGGGAAACAGGCCTGTTAGTCCTTGTGGGTACTTGACCCACTACAAGAACTTGGGGTGCTTCTTTCAGTCAAAAGCACAAATAGTGGTCTCCCTTAGCCAAACCAAGAGGACCCCAAGGCATAATCTAGACCCTCTCCCAATAAGTCTCCCATGCTAGGTACAAAGGAGAACTTTATTGGTTACAAGGAGTAGGTTTGGAATAGGGTACAGGGTAGGACAATATAAGAGAAATCCCTTAGAGCAAAGTGGTATGGTAGCCTTTGATTATGTATCTGTGTTACTGCAAGCTATATATCTAGTTAGATCTCAGGTAGCTTACTCACAGGTATCATCCAGAGGCTAGGTGAAGATTCCCTCCGGAGGCAAGCAGTTCATTGACCATGAGTTTCAAGAGACAAAGAGAGAGCTTCAGATGGACTAGCTTTTCTGAGAGTTTTCATCATGGCTACTCCCTTCCTCCTGGGCAGTCCTTCCCTTATGGACTTCATTTACCTGATCCAGTGAAGCACAGCAATGGTTGACTGCCAGCCAGCTAATTTGAAATTCATCGCTGGTTGCTGGGTAGACGGCAGGTTTTTATCTCTCAGTCATGTTGGCATTGCTTAGAACAATAGGGAGCTTAAGCCCCCCCCATCCAGGTATGTGATGCTAGTCACATAGGCAGAGGCAGCAGGTTTCCTCCCTCCCTCAGGAATGTATCCAGCTCAGGTTACAACTTGGGGTTACCTGAAGAGATGGGGCAGAGGAGTCTACCCTCTGCAGTGATCATGGTAACCAAATTGTCAGATAGCAGCTTGGGGAAAGACAGAAATGGTATTCTAATTAAAACTCATATTTACCTAAAAGATATATTTAAAAGGGAAATAGTTTAATTAGTTTTAGGAAACTGAATATTTGGTGGATATAGAATCATTAATA